GGTGAAAGGCCAGTGCTTCATATCAGACTGGACAACAGAATCATCAAATCTACGCCCAATCAACCGTTTAGCATCTGGATAGTAATTGAAAGAAATATGCATTTTCAATCACAGCACAAAAGCGTAAGTTCCCTCTAAAAATAACGTGGAAGTAGTTTAATACTTTAAGTCTTGAAGTGAAGTGGCCTTCACTGAACACTTGAGTCATAATAGCAGCAGAAATGGACTATTTCAGTGAATACAAAGCGCTCTAACCACAGGTATGTGCCYTACTAATGCAAACTGTAAGCAAGAGTTCATTGCTTAACTGTAACACTATTTAATTAGTTATGTATGTTCCCTGCAGGAAACTTGACCCCATCACCTGCTAAGAACTTCTACAGCCAGTTAACACAAGCTCTCTTACCGAAGACTGTGTTGGTCGGATTCATTGCAACTTGGTTCTTTGCAGCATCACCAATCAACCTCTCTGTGTCTGTGAAGGCAACGTAGCTTGGCGTGGTCCGGTTACCCTGGTCATTGGCAATGATTTCCACCTTCCCRTGTTGGAACACACCAACACAGGAATAGGTGGTGCCAAGATCAATTCCGACTGCTGGTCCCTTCGACATTTTGTCTGTGAAAAGGATAAATGAAGGGTGAGCTCAATTGCTACAAGCTGCCTACTTCACATGAGTAGAGGCGCTACTCTGTTAAATATACTTTTCGGAGAAGCGGGTGTAAAACGAGGACTAGCAGAGCGTTTAACCAGTAATGCTCTCTTAAGGAGCCGGAGCACTTGCTGGAACGGAAAGGCCCCAGCACGTGCTGGAGCACGTGGCCGCGGACTACATGTCCCATCATGCAGCGCCCCGCGGGTCACGTGGCGCGAGGCGGCCATCTTGCACGCCGGGAATGGCAGTCCCCACCTCGCATGGGCCGAGCTTCCCGCGCCATGTGGCCTGGCACGGCCCCAGGGCGGCTGCGGCACCAACCCACGCGGCGCCGCGGGGCTCGCGCCGCCTCCCCCGCGCCGCGGGCCTCCTGCCACCACGTGCCGGCTCCGCCAAGACCCGCTCCTCCTCCCGTCAGCGGACTACAACTCCCAGCATGCCTCGGGCACCGCAGCGGCCCCCCCCCCCCCCCGCTTTCCCAACGGGAGGGGAGCCTCCAACGGGAGATTGTTGGGCGCCATCCAACCTCCCCCCTATACGTTTCCCTCTTCTGAGCTGCCCTAAGAGCCCTTGCAGCATGGAAAAGAAAACGTGGAAAGCTCAATTACAGCCGCTATATGGCACGCGAAATGAAACAAAGCTCTGAGAAATCCCCGCATGAGAACAAGAKAAGTGACTGGCACTGTGACAAAATGGCGCTCCCACCCCCCTCCTCATCCCCCGCAGCCCCTTTCATGGGTAAGGCACCCCGGGCTCTGGGCCGAATGGCCCCCAGCTTCACCCCCTTCTCCTCCGCCTTCACCCCGAGACATTCACTCCCCGCCGCAGGCCGGGCCCCGTTACCTGAGCGGCGCGGATCGGCCCTGGCGCGCACGGATGRACTCGCTCCGCGGAGGTCGCTGCTGAATGAGAGCACTCGCCTCCCGCTCCGCCGCCTTTAAATACCGCCCCAGAACCTTCCAGAAGCGCCCGCCCCTGCCGGCCCTTCCAGCCAATCGCCGCGCGCTTTCTCCTCCCTGCCCGCCAATGGCGGCGCGCCGGAACCCGCGCCCCGCGTGACGCACACAGGAAAGGGGCGGGCATGCCCGCCGGCCGGCATTCTCGAACCTTCATGCGCTTTCCTGCGCTCGCCCCCGCCCGCAAGGACCGGGGGCGGAGCTTACGAACGCGGGAGCCAATCAGAAACCTCCCGTGGTAGCTATATCTGCATGAAGATGACGTAGTCCTTAGTGAATGCAAAAAGTGTAGGCGGAGGGAGGAAAAAAGCGCGCGACGGTCTCAGCCAATCGCGTCGCGGCGCTCCCAGTTTGTTTTGCATACTGGCTGCGGCGCCAGTRGCGCTGGCCAATCAGAGGGCCCGGTCGCGGGGCTCGTTTACATAGAGGGTGGCGGGCAGAAGGGGGAGCGGGAGCAAGACAAAATGGAGGGCGGTCCCGGGGCGCGCACGGGGCAGAGCCGGCCTCTCAGCCAAGTTAATGGCCCGCAAATCCCAGCCGCGTGCGCCGCGCTACTGCTCTGCAGAGAGCACAACCCGGTCCAAAAATAAAGCGCGAGGTTTTCCGCGAGGAAAGCCTCCTGCCAAGCTGCCAGGGCTCGCTGCCCTCCCACAAAATGGCGGTCCGTGTAAGTTTCATGTTACCCCTTGGTGAATGCGTGGGCTGTTGTTACTCACAGCCCTTGCCCAACGCTTCTAGGGACACGCTACAGCCCTGGCCTCACAACACACAGCTCCATGGGCAAATGCTGCCCACCAGGGCATTGCAAGCCACACTTTCCACTTCCCTKTGGCAAGATACCATGCCCTAATACCTCCCCAACCCTAATTCCACCTGTGAAGCTACCTTGGCCAAGCTSTTTTTTTGGACAAACAAAGTCCAAAGACGTGTTCTCAGTGCAGAGTCCAGTTGTGCAATCCTTCATAAATACTTAATGAATTTCCCTCACCCATAATTGCTGCTAGTCATGGCTGGTTGTGGTAATGCCTTGGGCCAAGCGCCAACATGGTACCTCATCCCATGTCGGTGCTACTCACTTCAGTGGGAAGGAAGGAGAGGCCTAGAGCATCAGCAGAAACAGCCACCSCTCCTCCGGGATCCTCCAGCATCCGCTGGGATCAAGCAAGCGGATGGACGACTGCCAACATCCAGGCTGCTCTCAGAAGAACCTTAGGCTGAAAACTGATCAGAGGTCATAAAGCACCTCAGGGCAGGCCCCACCAGCGCTGCCCTGGGTTGCACTGGATGTTTACACAGCATAAAACACCCCATGGAAATGTCAGAGGGAGTTCAGGGAAGGGCTAAAGCTAAGCTGTATGTCCCCATACACTGCAAAATTATGCAGTAAGGAACGAGCACAAAGGGTCTTCTGCACTGTAAAAGCACAACAGCCTAGAAGAACATTTACCAACTTGTCCCCCAAGAAAAGCACTTCTATTCATAGCTCAAAGTCCACTGCTTGTAGGGAGCACCCAGATCTTTAAACCTTACCCCAGTCAACCATCCCTTCATGATGTGCATGCCTCCTGACAAACATACATATGAACTTGTCTTTTTACAGAAACTTTGAGTTATCCTATCAGGGAATATGGTGCAGGGAGCTTGGGTCATCTGAGAGCTGGTAACTTASTGCTATCAGGCCACTTGCCACATCCCAGCAGATAGGATGTGCCCGTGGCTGCTGCTATGGGCACCCTGACCTGCAGAACGTCCAACACACATCACAGCAGTTTGTGGTTGTCCATTTCCTCTGCTCTGCCACTCAGAGTGCCCCAACCTGAACTGGGACCTCCGGGTGACCACACAAGGCRCAGTTTGGGGGCAAAACTTCGGGACACAAAATTAGACAGGAGGTACAGCAGGACAAGTCAAGGGCTGCCACTCTCCCCTTCAAGACAAGGGTGTGGGGGGGCAATAATTAACCACAGACTTTGCTGACTGTCACATGCAAAGCACTCCACCCTGTCCAGAGTACAGCCCTTGGAGCTCGGAATTCCTCAGGGCCCTGAATTCCTCAGCAATGCAGCGCTCCTGCACACAATCCATCATGCACAGATTCAGCTGGCTGCTGGCAGGCAAAGGCAACCTGACAAAAGATAGCACAGGGAGGAGGGCAGGCAAGCACCAACTCATTACAATAGTAATTACAGGCTGTTATTCTGCTTGACAGAAGTCATCCACTGACTGCAAGACAGACAAATTAAGGCCCAGTAGGGCTGGGCAGAGACAACCATCTCCCTCCCCACCTCTTGTTTTAATGATTTCCAACATTATTTCCCAGAACCCATTTGGTACCTTAGATCACATGCTGCTTCTCCTTTTAACTCTTAACAGAGCTGCACAGACATCAGAGTATTTAAGGCATGCTTCCTTTTCATAATGTCTTTTAATTTATATCATATCAGTATCTGCATACCACAGTTCAAGCCTGAAAACCACACATTTCTAAGGCAGTGCTCCCCTTTCCAAGATAATCTTTCCCATTTGTTATCCCCCTTCAGTGTGTCAGTATGAGCTGATCCAGGTTAAAAATAACCCCATACTCCTCATACTGTACCCAAGGCTGCAATTGCACAACTCCACTTGAAATGCTTATCGCCTCATCAGCGGTCTGGGTGCCATCGACTGGGAGGGAGGCAGCAATAACGCTTCCTCATGAATCAGGGAGATAGCAGGAGGACCCACCTCGCAGACCAGTGTGTTGTCACTGTGCTTTAAGTACCAGGTTGCAAGTTTTACTCACAGCTTTCTGCAGATTGCTGATGCTGGGAGACCTCTGCGTGAAGCACCCTGGGTAAAGAGAGCTGAGCCATCACAGGAGTAATCAACCATGGTCATGTTTAGTTAGCCTAAATACCACCTACATCTCTGCAAAAAGATACCCGTTAGATGCTTCAAAATATTTATCTGTAGACAAAATCTAAGCCATCCATACACAGTCATACACAATTCTACATTATATTTCATACTGTCATGTAATGCAGACAAAAAAAGCAATTAAATGTGGCTTACTTGCCATATTTAGACATTCTAAGTAAACAAACAATCCTTGTTAGCTTAAGAAAAAAACAAAGCCCACATTTTTGCCTCCATACCGTTTTGTTCAAACCCATCTCGAGCACAAAACATACCATAGCACAAAAGACGCAGCATCAGTACAAATTTAGTTGAGCTGTAGCTCTTCTGCTGCAGCACATTTATTTATAAAACCAAACAAAAATTATGAAATCATCAATTCAAAGGAATCTGTAATAAATATTTGCTTTCCTCTGAGGTGTTCAGACACAGTACAAATACACCAATTATAGCAGGTCAGAGAGATGTAAGCTCAGTTTAGCTGCTGAGAAACAAAAGAAAGCTACATAAGATCATATGCGTGTTACCACACTCTAGTAATAATTGGTATATGACAGTAAATGCTTTAAATGCACTATTTTACAAAATGGTTTGTCTTATGGTTCATTTCCCTTGTAGAATTCCTGATGCCCTTATCCAGAACTCGGACAATGTCCCCTTGAAAATGAAATACTCATGCTTTTGGAACAAGGTCTTTCTGGTATTTGCTTGGAGTGTGGAACTTGTCCCTTGTCCACAGCAGTGCCCACGCTTGGTATCCCTGGTAGGAGCAAGTCCCAGGGCCCTTCCTAATGTGTGGCACGTTCCCAGCGTGGCAGTGGATGCAAGGTGGGCTGGCACGGATAGGACCCACTTCCCCACAGGACAAGGGAAGACGACAGCAGGCTCCAGTGCTGGCTCCYGCCTCACCTCTTGGCCCCAGGATCCAGGAACCTTTCCTCCCATTCATCAGACATCCAGGAGCAACTTCCCAGCTCCAGGGCAGCTGGAAGCGAGCAGAGGGCTGCCATGGCTCGTCTGCCCTGCAGCCTGTTCCACAAGGCTGCCGGGAAAGAGCCTGCCAGGAGCTGTCTCCAAGCGTCATAGCTGACAACAAGCAGCCTCCAGGCTGCAGCTAGAGAATCCTTCATTTCACAAGTGACAAATCTGCTCCATGACTCAGGAACAAGCCAAGTATTTCATACCTAGACCTTTGTTAGCACAACTGCTTCAATCATTACCTTTTGTAATAAGCTGCTGGTTGCTCCAGCACAGCTACTTCGCTCAGAAAGCGGTTCCAGTCTGTATATGCATAGAATACATATCCTCAGCTCATCTGTTGGGGGAACACAGAGACCATTCACTCCTGAACAGTGAGCTACCATATTAAGCAGCTTGTGGCTCTCAAGTCCTGCTCATACTCTTGCTGAGGACTTCTCCAGCAAGGCACCTCAAGGCCCAGCAAGAGAACAAACTGCAGAAGAACCCCCAACATTTACAGTTGCTTCTTCCATGTGGCAACAGCTACAATCATCTACCAAGACAGGGCTGAGTCTGGAACACACTTTTGCAATGTCCTGGCCCAGTCCTTAGGTAAAAGGCTATAACATTCAATAGCAGGAGCTGTCATGAAAACATAAGCTTATCAAATGTCTAATACCAGATGGTTCCTTGGTTTGAACTGGTGATCAAGAGTGCTTCCCTCACACAACCAATTGGTCCTCTATCCTCCTAAAGGTGGTTAGGTTGGTTTGTGGATACAACCATTAGGTTGCATTTTAATGCTTGTGAGAAGTGAATCTTTCAGATAATACAGGGCAAGTGGCTTCAGACCTTCCCATGCACAAGTAACAATCCAAGGCTCAGTTTTGATCAGATGTTGGTACCCCTGGAGAAGTTAGAGCAAGTGTTTTAAGAGCTCATTAAAGAAGCCAGAAGGCTGCGTCTCAGAAGCATATTAATCATCCCTGGAATGACCAAAATATAGATGTGTCCTCCTCCTGTGCTGATCCGTCTCCCATGGAGTCCTTTGGCAAATGAAGACAACATTGCATCCCACAAACCAAAAAGTCAGGCTATATAGAAAGCCTGTTGATTTAAGRCTACAAGCATTTGACCTATAAGATGAGCGTCTTGTGTGGAGCAGTGGCCAGAGGAAAATCGTCCAGAGGAAAGTGTAAACGAAAGCAAGTTACAGGAACATCTGCCTGCAGAAGCCCATCCTTATCTCGCACCATTTCTTGTTTGGCTTGCAACTTGAAGCATGAGACTTTATATTCCTTATAAACACTTATTCTGGCTAATTTAATCACATAAAATATTTATATGATTCTCTCATTTGAGTCCTGCTACAGTTTAAGCCTCAACAACAGAGCAGGGCCCCATGTTGGCCGTAAAATGGGACAATGCACACATTTTATTCTAGTAGTTTTGTATGCATTTTCTGGGCCCTGCAGTGTTTTCCTCAATGTGCTGTTAGTCTGCTCTTACCTGAATGCCTGATAGTCAGATTAAGGATGCTGTTGATTCAGCCTCAGAAAGAGCTCTCCTTTAGGCTTCTGCAACATGGCTCATCCCCAAATTGGTGAATTGACAGCATTGCAATAGGAATAGTATCTTCTAAATGTTTCCTCTGGTGCTAACCAGTGCTGACCATAATAGCAGAATCAGGCTCCTGTCTATATCTATTGTTGTATTACTTAAATCAAACAATTAAGCACCTGTTTCCTTGACATAAAAGGTCCTTTTAGGACAGAGGTTGTTTCAGCTCCATGTCTTAATACTGCATCTCTGGCCCTTGAGTTACATTTCCTTTATGCCGCAGTTAACAGCCTCCAAAGGTATTCCACTAAGAGACCAAATACAGAAATGAAGGGAACTTAGGGCTGTCTCATAAGAGGGCTCAGCAGAAAATCTTCAGCAGAGAAGATGCCTCAAGAACTTCAGCTAAGACAATGGTTCTTTCAGAAAGTTCACTAAAACTAGTTAAAAGCTCCTCCTCCCCTATAAACCTCCCTAGAACATTGTATGCTATTTTGCCTCTGTTGATCCCTTTTACAAAGTCCTGAGGTTTGGTTTCATTTCATTTATACAGCGCTTAAATTTCATTTATACAGCTGCAGTTTTGTAATGCTTGCTGGTCCATTTTTTAAAGCGTTAATTAAAAAGAAGGCTCCCTCTTCCCTCAAACTCATCTTTTTAAATAAAAAACTAAGATCAGTGCAGGAAGGTCTAAGACAGATTTGAGTGGGAGGGCTTCTTGCCATGTGAATAATCCGTGACTAAAATTAGGCTGACTAGGAAGGTAACGAGCTAATGCATCTATTCCTATGCAGCTGGTGTATGAGGTGCTTCTGGACAGCAGGGTCTCCTGGGGGCTGCAGTCACACGGTCTGGAACGCACGGCTCTGCGCGGGCACCATGACCAGCGTGGCTCCCATTTTCATCAGGTTGGCATAGTCGACTTTCTTTGGCTCAGGCTCCCTTCCCTCTGGCTCCTTCTGGCTGTACTGGGGAGGAGTTAGATGAGGAGTAGCTTCTGTTGACAAAGTCCGTTGGCTGCGAGAGGCACTGTTGGCAGTCGACCTGGTAGAGGAGGAACCCGAACGCGAGCTCCTGGAACCAGAGGAAGAGGAGCTGGGCTTGACGAGATGAGCTTTGGGCGCCTCTGCATCTTCTCTGCAATCAGACAGAAAGCAGGGTTCAAACACCATGACAAGAACAACCTTTATATATTATGAGAGACTAAATAGCAGGTGCAGTGAACAGTTGCTCATTCGAGTTGCACATCACCCAGGCACATTTGCCCAGCAGGTTGAGCAATGCACCAGGTTTCTCAAGTTCTGTACTTTGTAAACGTGAGTTGAAATCCCTCTGTTCCTGCAGTGATTGATCAAAGGGGTTTAGAAATACCTGCTGCATTTGCCTGGCTCTTGTTTGGTCTACCAGGTCTGGGGAATGAGTGCAAGGAGTTCAGGTACACATGTGCTCTGTAATCCTTTCCCATAATGACACATCACTTGCACAGGACTAGTAGAGACCAGTTCTACCAGCAGCAATGGGAGGAGGAAGAGAAATGCAAGACCTGGGCCCAGAGAAAAAGGTGGCTGAACAGCTGATGCAAGAATGGGCTGAAGCTGTGATTGCAAATCAAGAAGCAGGAAGGAAACTGGCTAGTTAGAAAAGCTCCCCCCACCTCAAGACAGTTAYGGTTGCATATGCAGAGTATGGTTACATATGCAGCCAGAGCAGCAGGCAGGGCCGTCAGCTGTCAGTGCATTACAGGCATTCTTGCTCAGCGGTACGTGGGTGTCATGTGAGGGCAAGCAGTCCTTCACAGACAGAAAAGAGGATGCAGCAACGCAATAGGGCTCTTCAAGGTCAGGAACAGCTAGAACTCATTCCTGGAAATATCTTTTTCATTCCAGCACTTTCCTTCCAGAGAGCTTTGGGCTCAGTTGGCTGGAGACCAATCTGCTTAGCAGAGCAAGGGGCAGCCCTCACACACGCGGTGAGCGCTCAGGGCAAGGCGTCAGCGCTCACAGTCTCAGGGGATTTTCAACCCCAAGCTACATCCAGAAGTGCAGTTGTTCAGAAGGCTCAAGAAGGACCCAGACGCTGCCTGCCTCATTGTTCCAGAGACTGGGCTATAAAAAACAAATCCATCTTGCAGAAAAAGTGGACAAATTGTTAAGTTCTGTACTGGAAAGGGCTAAGGAAATGCATAACAGTCATTAGATTTGCAAGCAGGAAATAATTTTATTTTCTACTCCATTTAATATGCTTCTTTGGGAGAGGTGGGAGGGTTAATGCTAGTCTTGCCCTAGAAAGGGCCATTCCTTCTATTTTTGTCTACAGAAAAATAATTCTCCCAGTCAAGATACCATCAATGACAGTTCAGGGTAACTTTGCAAGTTCAGAACAACCTCCTCAAACACCCATGCCTAGGTTACTGAAACCAGTAGTAAGAGTGTGGTACTTAATATCATGCTGAGTCTATATGAAACAGAAGGGAAGGTGGGAGGTGGTGGGTTCAATAAAAAATGTTACCTGATTTCATTTGGGGCCTCCTCTTCTTCATATCTCTTTTTTTCTTTCCTCCTTATGGTCAGCCTCACCACCAGGAGAAGGAGGCAAAGCCCCACCACCACTCCGCAAACAGCTCCAGCAATCATGCCAATATTCTGTGCCTCTGTTGTCCAGAGAACAAATGCATAAATTAACAGATCAGCCCTCGCTATGGTCCGTATACTCAGATTCAAACCCACTCTATAGAATTTATATCACTGGGTCTAAACCAAAACACAATGTTTAATTTAAAGCATGCCCTCCTGCAGAGGTTGAACCAGTTCATCTTAAGGTATTTCTAAAACTGAGCAGACACCAACACTGAGAAGAATATGCAGTTCTCCAAGGCTGGACAAGTCTCCCAAGTGCTGTGCACCAGCATTTACATGAAAAGGAGGAATCCTCTCCTACAGAGCCACAGAATGCAGAAGTAACAAGACAGGGCAATCCACATCTGAAGCAAGGCAGCCAGCAGTGTCCTAGAGGCAGAAGCCTGTCTCAAGTATGACTGTTTCCCCATGAATAGTCTTTTCCCCTCCTCATCCTGAAACAATTACCATCCACTTACAAAATGAATTATTCAACTGAGGAAAAAAGTGACTTGGGGATAGAGGAGGAAGAAAGGAAGACCACCCTGTAAAAGTTGCAGGGCATTATTCATCCAAAACAAGGTTTGAGACCAAGCTTGCTAGTTCCTGTGAGCCCTTCGTTGCTTCCCTACAAAACCTTTTGATAAAAATGGGTTAATTTGGATTTGCCTGGATTTTTTTTTTTCCCCCCTATGGAGTACATATCAATTCAGAGTGAGGTTTAAACCAGCTCAGGTCAAACACCAAAAAAAGCTGCCCAAAAGCTTTCATTTCAATGCCTGAGGGGAAAAGACTTTCCTTGCTACATGACCCTATTGCAGTTATTTCACTCCTGGCTGGACAGACAAATTCCAAAGCTGGGAAACTTCGCAACAGAGACTGCTCCATTAGCAGCCCTTTATCACAGCAGTTCTATCTCCTGTCATCTGAACCAAGAGTTGCACCTAAAAAACAGGCTCAACTGTGTTCTTTGTATTTGTCATTAGCACCAGTGCTCAACTCCACCCTTTTGCTTGCATGCATATGCGAGGACACTGCTATGTGAACACATACACCCCCTTGACATGGTTAACCACACAGGACATGGTAAACTCCAGGGTCTAGACTATATTTTCTTAGGCATATTAAAACCAAATTCTGTCCAGAGCAACTTTTTACTTCCACATTTTTTATTTTTCATTTAAGACAGCCTTTTTTGGGCTGTCTTTAGGTAGTTTACTCTCTCAGGTAGGAGAGAACTTGGCATTGCAATGATGGACTACCCACTAAGATTTGACACTTGACTAGAGTTTATCACGCAGTCATTCCAGGTCTAAGTACTGCTAAAGCTTCTGCAAACTCTACAGCTCAATCTTTTTCTTTGTACTTACTTTGGAAAAAAAAAGAACTGCTTCATGTAATTCAAGCATGGAAGGGCAAACATGTGGCATAGAATTTGTCCACAGAGGTGAGACAGGAGTGAAGCAATGCTGCTCAGTGCTACATATACTAGTTATACACTGATACTCACGCTGCACTGTCACCTGAACAACGCAGTTTTCTTGCCCAGCCTCATTGGTGGCAATGCATTGGTATAAACCTGTAGTCATCTGTGTGAGATTCTTTAGGAGGACTTGCCCAGGATTAGATATATCTGAAACAAAAACAACGAGATCAGAATTTTAAATAAGGAAGCTATAAAGCATGGTAAATAGAGCACAGAACAGACAAAAATAGATTCAATTTCCAGATCAAATCCAAAAGAGTAAACTTTGCTTCACAACAGACCATTTGTCAACGCTCAGTAAAATAACACTACACTCCCTTGTTATGGGACATGATGCAGCTGCAGCAGTGAGAAGCACTGGCATACCATCGCTATCACTGTCACTAAGTGCTCCCTGTTGAAAACAGAGGCAGATGACTTGTAGCCTCAGGACTCAGGGAGTTCAGGTATGTATGGTTACTTGGCTTGCCTGAGCATGCTCTACGGGGAGATAACCTTACTTACTGACTCTTGATGTGGGTGGGAGATGTTCAGCTCTCTCTTCGTCCTCACTTAAGCGCTGCCATCGGTAGGAGATGGGTGCAGTGCCAGATGCAGACCGACACTGCAAGGAAAGGTCCTTTCCTTCCAGCAGCTCCCCTTCTAGCCAGCATTTGGGCTTGGAAGGCTTCTCTGAAAGGAACAGAACACAGGTCATGCAGATGCCACCATCCATTTTCTTAGTGGACAACACTTTATTTATTAAGAGAACAAGTATCAGGATGCTTGAGAGCTGGTTTCTCTAGAGAGCATGAGCAGCCATCAGGGATGCTTGCTAACGCACTTGCACTGCAACTTGGTGCAGTTTCCAAGCCTAAGCAGCAGGGCTTGGCTGGCCCACAGACACAGAAATGCCACAACGTGCTTTGGGGCAGTTAGTCTCATGAATACAGCGGGGTTTCATCCTTGCACTGCTTTAGGTACCGCCTAGAGAATATCTTCTCCCACCCCCTTCCTTCATTTCTTCCTCCTCCTCCCCATAGCATCTGGTAGGCCACAGCAGTTCCCTGGGAGGATAGCATGCACACCAAAAGCCAAGGAAGAGAAACAATCCCAGCAGTTTGCAAGTCACCCGACTCAGTCCAACTTCGAATCCTGGAAGATGAACCTAAAATTTGCAGTGAAATCTAGGCAGGGTGAACACAACAAGGCTATCATCCTAAATTATCATGAGATTGTAGATATTATCGGGAAGCCATGTTTTATACAATTTTACAATAATTATGCTGACCTCCAAACAGTTCTTTAAGCTCCTCCTGTGTCTTGTCCTTTGCCAAAAAGGACAGACAGATATGGAGGTGGTCAGTGAAATCTGATCATGAAGTATCTTTGTGTATTTATACCCTACTGAAATACATCTGCCTCCCGCAAATCAGTCTAGTCCCTTTTCTTTTTCCTGTGGAAAAAAAGCAAAATCACCTTACCTATAACCTTCAGGGTGATGCGAGCCCATTCGTATTGCCCAGCATTTTTAACTTTGCATATGTACTTTCCTGCATCACTTGACTGCAGAGATATGATCTGCAAGGACGCATCTCCAGCACGAAAGTTGGAAGTGAAAGAAACACGGCCCTTCTGATCTTCGTTCAGGTCATCATAAACGTGGCCTCCAGAGTAAGTGATTACCTGATGAGCAGAGACAGGCACTCATTAACCAGTTATACTGTTACTTAACACAAAGAGCAAAAAACTCAAAGCATTTCCAGAAACCAAGGGCTAAGGTTTTTGCAGGGCAAAGTGACTCAACTAGGGTCATACATGAAGCCTGTAGCAAAATAAAGAATTAAACCTAGATTTCCTGACTGAGACACACCCAAATGGTATTTACACTACAGGCTTGTATGGAAAGATTTAAGCTTGTATCAGAAACCTAGTACGAACACCAGCTGATGGTATAGCATACAAAAGCAGCCTATAGTTTTGGCTGATTGGAGTAAACTCATTAAAGTTTTCCCAGGCCAGATTTTTAAGAATATTAAACTTCTTCCCTCCCACATCTCCCTTCCACACCCATAAACACATGTTTTAAAAACAGGTTGTACCAAAACATGGCCATAGCTGGAAAGTTTAAGGGCTATTTTGAGGTTAATCCAGAGACAGAAATTTAACAATGTGGGTATAAGGCAGACCTCATTTTCAGTGTCTGCTTCACTATAAGACACATTCATATCAAATAATTAGTATGTGTCTCCAATTCCTTTCAGTCAATGATGTTTTCTAAGCCTTAGTCACTCCCACATTATTTCTTCCAAGGCAGAACATAGAAGTCTCTTCAGATTAACAGCTGATCCTAAACTCAGCATAAAACTAAGGGCATTTTCTCAGCAGATGCAAACCACAGTTTGAGAGAACCTACCGCTTTCTGCACTGTTTCCGAAACATGCAGCAGCCACTCGATATCCAGGCTTCCTTGCTCCAGGAGGCCCAGGCGGTGGTGGCAGGGCAAAGTCACGTTTTCTTCAGCCACTCTCTTGAATTCCGTCTGAGCCTCAGCTATCCAAACAGAACAGGAAGCTGCAAGACAGATGCTGGCAATCAGAGGACAAGGTAGCCGATCTACCTCTGCTGTGACCAGCAAAGCTGGCTTGGATTTCCCTGGATTCTTCATTTGCTTCACAGCATAAAAGAAACCCAACAGCCTGAGTTCATGGACAGATTGCAGTCCATTAAAGGCGACATCTAYACATGCACAGGGAGCGAGTTTCACACTAGTATTTAAGCATGTAGAACAGATGGCTTCACACTCCAGAAGTGCCAATCCTGAAATCACAAGCCTTTCCTTAACGTTCACTTGCACAGTGAAATTTGCTTGAAGACCACGAAGGGAGCCTGGAGATTTGCAAGCTCCAATATCGTGTGACAAAGCTTGGAGCTTTCTCCCTAGCCCTGGAGATAGCTCTCTGCATATGGTTCRACAGTGGAAATAAGAGACCAGATTAGGAACAAAAATCTTAACCTTAAAGCACAGTGTAAGCAAAGTTAAAGTTTCTTTGAACAGCAACATCAAAGAGCAGAAAGCATCACAAACTATTTGCAAAGTGGAAAAAAATAAAAAGTTTTTCCAGATAGAACCACTAGAGGGAATCAGAGCCTTATAAAAGCTATCCGAAAGCAGAAAAATGACACCATAAGGGACACTTGACAGTTTTCCTCTTCCTTTAGGACCAGCCCTGCTTTAGGAAACATTCACCCACTCCCCACTACCACTCTCCTGTGTTSCAAGAGTCATCCCTCAAGTTTTATGTTTCTGATAGTTAAAATCCAACCTTGCTAAGTACCTCTATAGAAGGCCCCTACATGTGTGCACGCACACTTAAAAAAACAGAGCTCTAAACTAGGTGGAGTGTTGCAAATGATTAAACTCTCCTCTTCACAGATCTCCACATGAATCAATGAGCCTGAAAGCTTCTTTTCAACCACATTAAAAGGAACATTAATCTAGCTTAGTACTGGATTCTCTGGTCCTAAAGTGCTATCTGCCAAATGCAATTATACATTTTGTCTAAAGAGGAATGCCTGCTTTCTCCTGCAGCCCACATTGCTGGGGGCTCCCTTCATTAACACGCTGACACTCACTACATGGACTGATCAATAAGCTTAATTGAACTGCCCATTGCAGCAACTGTTGGCACATCTGCAACTTCTTTCCCCCCAAATCCTGTGCCAGTTGCATGTGCATCTTGTAGGGAACCCTTTGGAGAACAAGCATCTTCTCCGGTCATTAAAACCCTCACTCAGGAACCCAAGTCAGATTTGAGGCAACGCAAGAGCATCAGTTTGCTACCTCTGGCTTAGAGCAAGAGGGGTTTTGTGGGAGCTCACCCCTTGGTTTACGCTTGCAGTCTTACAGCAGCGAATACTGCCATGTCCTCAGCACACGCCTGCCACGTGCTAGACACGTTTGCTGTCTGGGACAAGCAGCCGGTCACGCTGCACCATGTGGGGCACAGGTGGCCCTGCACCTTCTCCCCGGTGGATTTGCAGCCACGCAGAGGACAACACCCCTGCACCACTACATGAGCATCACCTCAGACAGGAGCTGATCTTCCCCARGGCCTCCCAAGGGTCTCAGCAATGTGGTAAATAAGCAGATTCCACAGCCTTTGCCCAAACAAACCCTCCCGGAGCCACTCTTCCCCTTGTGCATCCTGTGTGGCATGCCTTACACCRCAGGGCCAGCTTGGGAACTGCTTTTGTTTACTCTGAGCACACTCTGATTCGGTCCCACGACTCCGAGGGAGGCGGCTCTGTTGTCCTCGGAGCAGGAACCCAGGCTCCGTGGCAGATCCCACATCCTGCCAGCGCTAGCTCTGTTGGAAGGCTACAGCRTTCAGAGCAGGGCCAGCCCTGCTGACACACAGCACAGCGCTTGGCCCAGGACAAGAGGAACACGGATCATTTCATTGTTTCAGCATTTGCACTATTGTTTTTAGGACAAAAGCTTGGCCACCCAAGGCCCTGCAGGCAGGGGAGAACATTTTGCCTTTCATTCCACACAAGCATGCGGAATTCAAGAATTATTGAGCAAGACATTGAAACCCAAAAGCTAGCACCCCTAAACGGAGCATCCCAAGAGCACGAGGGCAGTTTTACCAGGGCAAATGCACAGGCCGGAGCAGGGAGAACACACATGCTTTTACTCAAAGACAACCGAACTGTTACAAAGCCCAGTCCGCTTGCATGTCCATCCAAACCCAAACATGTAAACATGCAAAGGCAGGTACCTATTGAGAATATCTAATAAACAGCCTGGCAAGACAAACTTATACACAGAACCAAAATATTTTGTTGACTTTTTAACCACTAAAGTCTTCTGCTAAAAGCTAAGAGCTTCCCGATTTAAATCTTTCATTATCTTCAGAAGAATGCTTAAATTAGGGAGCAATGCTAAATATAGATTATATGTATTAAATAATGAATTGTGCTATATCACCTACTAACTGCTGGAAGGAGAAGGAATGGCCTAGAAAAGATTCAGAGATCAACATATGAGAAATGTGCAGTCAAATTTAGCAGACAGCCCAARCCACCCACTTCCAACTAATTTGAGAAACAAATTAAAATGGGTCTTGAAATACAACCTGCRATTTTCCTGTGACTCAAGACACCCTCTGTTTGCTCCAGACACAAAGAGGATTCCCACAGTTTCTGGGGTTATTTGAAAAAGTCAGTTTGTTACCTTAACAGTTAAGGTCACTGTTAAGCTTTTAAAGCAGGATGTAAATGCTTAAATTAAGCAATGTTTTAAGCGCTTGACGAAATCAAAACCTAAACAGAGCCGTTCACCTGCAGCCATTATAGGACTACAGGACATTCGCAGTGTGTCTCAGCCTCTCTATGTTACAGGAACTTCAGGCTTAGAAACTGTAATGTCACCATCTCTTAAAACAAATCCAGGAACTAGTATATATTTAGCTCTTACACTCCTTGAGCCAGCAGCTTTTAAGAAATACGTATATAATCCAGTAAGTGTAGAAAGACTGCAAGAAACTGTCTACCAACTTGARCTTGGAAATGCAGCATTTTTCTGCTGTTCATACCTCAAATCAARACTTGTCTACTTCTTCCCTCTACCACTTACATTTACTGACCCTAAAAGAATTTGTTTCATGATGMTTTTCTCTTCCTATTTTGATAGCTCTGTTCATATCAGCCTTAGTTCTACAAGTTACTAGACACAAGGTCAAAAGTGATCTCGGAGTATACTTCAAAGTGTTCTCTAGAGCTTGCAAGCGCAAGTTTGCTGCCGAGGCAAAACTGCTACAATAGYAGAGCAAAAATGCCAGATTTACAAATTTTGGGTTCCTTTTTTTATGCTGCACAGCCTGTAATATTGTATGGACAACTTCCAATTCACCTGGGATAGGTGCACTTTCTGCTTTTAAACATTTATGTCAAAACATTTCCTGCACCTAGATGTGACAGGAGCACTGAATGGCAAAASTTGTCAAAGCACATCACATCTTTCCTGAAAGAATGAGAACAATCCACCGCAGACAACTTCTCTTAAACATTACCAATAAATTCAGTCCTTAGCATTTGGGGCTGCCCCCTTGGAATCCCCAACCATTTTTCACATATCTCCACATCACCCCAGGAACTGAAGAAAGTTTCATTAGGAAGGGAGATTTGCTCCCACAGTTCTGTTAAATCCACACTCTTCAAAATCCCTGTAGGCTGTTAGCAAACACCTCAGCGTACCCRACAGCTCCGTCCTACAGCTGGTGGCAGCTGCAACTGCAGCCTGAGCTGCTGCACTACCTCGATTCGCTTTGGTCAAAACAAAAGTTAGAAAAGGCTTTTTCTAATATTTAGGTTAGATGCATGAATAACTATRTATTTGACTTCCCTATTCCTATAAGAATATCCATCCCACTCAGCTACACAGCAGAAGACAAAGCATCTAAAGTAGATACAGTWAGAAGAACATTCAAGAATAAGGGAAAAAACAGCACAGTCTGCTCTACTGCAGCTCTGATCCCTTCCTCCATGCCAGGAATTTAAGACACTTCACATCTGTTAAACTTGATTTTGCAACAGCTATTTAGGAAATGATTTACCAAGTTCATTTATGCAAAAACAAAAGTCTGTTCCCACTCTAACCAGTGCCCATAAGAGCAGTAATTATTGCAAAATACTTAGCTTTTGTTCAACAAAAACTCATCATTTTTACATGCCTGAAGACACTGACTGCTTTCACAGCAAAAAACTCAAAAAACTTTGAGAAAATCTTGATTGACTTAGGAATTCAGCTGAACTAAAGRGAAAAAATAGTTTTTAAAAGTCTTCCTTAAAATTCTTTTCTGCCCACTAATACAGTTCAATAGTAAGTGATAGTCAAGACCTGGACAAAGTTTTATCGTTCTCTCCGAAATCCCTTGCCCTGCACTTGCAGGGGCTAACTGAAACACCRGCTAATTAAAACAGCTCCCGAGCTGCAAGCAGGAGCCGCAAGGCTGGCACCCCGCGCTCCCCATCGGGCCACTCCAGCCCTCGCGGCACTTCCAGCCAAAACAAACACAAAATGGTGTCTTGCAGACGGCCGCTCTGCATTCTTTGCGCAAGGGYGGAGAAGCCGGGGGCTGCGGGAAGTCTCCTAAGGATAATTAAGTGGGCCGAGGCCATGCTCTGGGACATGTGCTTTGTGCTTGGGCTGGCAGGGACACAGAGGCCACAGGTCACCCTCTCCCAAGGGCTGGAGCGCTCCCAGGAGCCGGCCCGGTCCCAGCGCRTGCTGCCTGCAGCCTGCCACCCTCGGCCTCCCTTTGATTTGGGGAATCCGCCTGGGAAGTGAGCGTGTCGCAGGCAAGGGAAGGGCGAGCCGGCCGGCAGCTCCCGCAGGACAGCCTAGCTGTGGGGAAACCAAGAGTCAGCCAGGCCCCATCCTATCCAGAGTTGTGCCGAGGCTCTAATTGGAGCCACATGTGCTGGCRGCTGAGGTTTTCCAAGGAGCCTGCTGCACAAAGCAAAGAGAAGAGCCCTGCTGATTTCCAAACAGTGACGTGAAGCATTTG